TTGGGATTACTCATACGGTTTACCAAGATCTTCATAACTTATATATATATATATATATATATATATATATGGTGTCCACAAAGTCTTTAGGCACTTTAAAAAGTCGTTACGAAAAATTAGAACCGGTGGCAATGAAATTTTTTTCATATATTAATAATGTTACTATGTTCTTTTAATGATAGTAATAGTTTTATTAATGTTGTTTTTATGTTTCAGCCAACAATGGTTTTGTGGACACACACTCTCTCTATAGGTACCTCCAAAGATTCGCTAAAAATGAGCATATATTTTTGTGTTATTAAGAGGAGAGACCAAAGGATTTTTTAATTCTTAATTAATACTATTAATACTTAAATAGTGAAAAAAAAACATTGATTTAGAATTTCTTGCAAAAATCAGATAATTGTCACGTTTTAATGAAACGTTCAGGACTTAATCATAAACTAGAAGCAGAATTTGAAGGAACCATCATTTGATCTAGCGTGCTTTTACTGTTAGACTACGGGTGCATGACAGTTGTTAGTATTGTTAATTTGTCATAGAGTCGACTTGTTGATAATGTCGGCCACGGCGGAGACGAATCCCAAAGTGCGGCATCGTCGGGAAGTGCCTGAAAGAGCATTAGTTAACCAAAGCCATGCAAGTGAAATTGAGATGAAACTGTTCGGAAGTCACAAGTCATCGTGACCGAGCGTTCAAGTATACTGGCCTTGTTCAATGACTGACTAAACAAACTTTTCTTTATGATCAAGTACGCTCAACTTGTCGGATATTTCGATTAACTCTGCTAAGAAACGTCTTCAGATCTAAAAAAAAAAAAAAATAAATAAAATAAAAAAATACCGCAAATGTAGGTGGACCGACTGGCTGGCGGAGAGCAAGCCAATGGGAAGGTTGATTTGTCATGTGAATCAACATAGGATCGCAGATTTTTTAAAAAAAAAAATCTGCGATCCTATGTTCTAGATAAAATTACTGTTTGAAGTTTACCAGAGCAGGTTCAAACCGTCGACTGCAGCTATAGTGATTGAGGGCAAATTGCTTTGAGCAAACCGGCCAAAAAGAAAATATTTCTCATAGGCATCTATTAATCTTTCAACAAACATGAGATGCCAAACTTTCACATTATTTTTTAAAACTAGTGTTCTTTCTGTTTTTTGTTTTTTTAAACTGGTGTTCATTCTGCTTTTTAATTATTTTTAGACAGCCACATATGTTTATTGATAGATTCATGGCAAGCTTCAAGTATATGAAAATAAAATTACTTGGATAATGAAACATTTTTAGCATTGACCATTAACAGTAACCAATATTTGACTAATTCATTCAACACTGAACAGCAGAAATATTTGATTTGTTAATGTAAAAAAATTAATAAAATCTACTTGATGTGATGGACCCGCAAACACATCTGGATCTTATATACATAATAAAAATGAATTTCTCATCTGGCAATGCTTTATTTTAAAAAAAACAAAAAACAATGGGGTGTATGATATCCCATCAAAAATGCCAAGTGATGGAGTACCAGTAAAGAGAGTGGGCAGCAACAAGAAAGGCTCAAACCATGTTATACCAGACAGAAACAAAATCCAACTCATTAGTACTTTTCTCTTCCTCATGTTAGCTCCAGAATTTTCTATTATTTTTTAATACCATATCCTAATCAGGATGTTGGCAATCATGGCGTCTCTAAAGATTCCTTTATCTATGAATTACTATGACCTCATGGTGAAGTAATGGATAGCCGCTCGGATTGAGGAATTGGAGAGCCAAGTTCAAATTCCAGTTGAAGCTATCATATTCACTTATGTGCTAATACCCTTGAGAAAGGTATGAATCCTCTTCTACTCTTCCCAGCTATGGGTAAATAGCAGGAAAGATCAGGTTCTATAGCCTTGGATGGAAACGGGTCCACCACAGAAAGATATGGCAACCTACTGCAGGAAAAAAATCTACTTCATCAGTCATGTATTGAAAGATACATGACCATCTAAGCATGTATCTCACATAACTATGACCTCTTGGTAAAAATAGTTTCTAATTGCTTTTTCTCCTACACAGCCCAGACTGCCCTGCTATTTAACCCCTAGCTAAGGAGAGACGAATTTTCAGCTTTCTTGAATGCAACTGATTCAACAAGGAGTTGAACTCCATTTTCTACTTCCACTTTACGGTATTTTCTTGTGGGACGGGGAAAAAGAAAGAGCATCCACCAGGAAATAAATGACATTTTCTATCTTCCCTTTCTAAACCAAGTTCTCCAAATTTAAGAGTAGAACCTTGCATAGCATATAAACTTTCATTGTGGTACATTGGTTAGGAAACTGGTTTCAAAAGTCCACTTGGGGGTGGGGAGGTGAGCACAGTGTAAGAATGACAAAAAACAAACAAAACAAAGCAAAAACACAACACAAATTAAAAGAAGAATATTTTTTATTATTTCACAATTATATAAAATCTGAAATTTTTGTGATTTTTAATTTTTTAATGATTGCACAGGACAAGTCATGATTGTAGCCCCTTTCAAATCACATGAAGGAATGATACAATATTAGACATGGCTACATGTGTGACTAGGGACAAGAGACAAGGAGAAAAAGCAAATGCAAAGAGTAAACAAGTCAGAATGGCACAAGGATCAGAAAAATAAAACTATTATAGAAATGATAACAAGTATTTTAATTATATTATTATTATTGGAACTCTTTTCATGATCCTGTGTCAGACATGGCATAATTCAGGTAAATACTTTTTTGCTTTATATAAAATGCTTTGGCTTTATGACAAATATATTAGCAGCATTAATGATAAACAATAACCATTTATTATTAATAGTACAATTTATTTAATGATAAAGACAAGAAAATAAACTTAGTATTTGTCAAAGGCAAGCAAAAGGTGAAGGATTTAAAATTTAGAGCTGAACAAAAGAATACTTAGGAATAAAAAAAAAAAAAAAAAAAAATAAGACTAAGTTATAATTGGAGATAAAAAAAAAAAAAAAGGTAAAAAAAAAAAAGAGAGAGGGAGCTGAAAGAAGCAAAGAGAGAAAGTAAGAGCGTAAATGAGTGAAAGAGAAGAGAACAGAAGAATCTACATATCTTTAATTACCTGACAATAGCAACAAACAAATCATACTTGGAATGATGATCAGAAAGAAAAAAAAAAAAAAAAAAAAGAAAGAAAGAAGTGTACTTAGATGGAGCAGAGTCAATTATTTTTTTTCTTTTTTTCAACCAGCATCCTTTTCATTTTAATTAAGTTTTATCACAACATTCTCCATTTATTTTATAGCTGTTAGTAAACTGTATATATTGGAAATCGTTCCAGAAACGACAGGATTACTTTTGCTTACTCATGGTAGAAAAGTGATAGAAGGATGGCCTGCAAGTTGTGGTAAAACAATTGAAATTAAAAAAAAAAGAAAAAAAAAAAAAGTTGTCGGCATGTCAATTGTTGTCAGAGATCAAGCTAGTATGTAATAATGTCCAAAAGGGAGGGAGAAAAAAAAAACCCAAAAAAAGACAAACCACAAGGACAGTTCTTATTTAAGCACCTAAAATTAAGAGGTGCTTAAAGAACTATGTTTAAATGTCACATTTATTATGATAATATATATAACAGCCATTGTCAAAATAAAAGGCTACTATTCTCACATCCATACCCACTTGGTAATGAGTTTCCCATAAAGACAAGTGTTCATAAAGAGTACATAGATTTTTCTGCCAGGCAGTACAATATATTCTGGTACACAGCAAAAGAAAACATGGCAGAAGACTGTTTGGACATTTTACCGGCACATAGGGCGTGTATAGAGTCCTGCTGAGCTATCAAGGTTTGCTCTGATGAGGAATTTGTAGAAAACTGTAAAACTCATGCACCAAATAACATTGCAGTCTGTATCCACCATACTCAATACTTAGGGAGATGAGTAATGTCATATTAATACATGTATCCTCTTGGTTAAGATATGTAACAGTTTCCATTTTTTTTTTTATTCATTAATATTTACCCAAGGCCTTTTGTATAATTAGCAATAAGTATATTTTATGAAGCAGCAACATAGAAAATTAAATGACATGAAGGTTACAGAAGGGAGGATCTATTGAACCAAGTTGTCATTTTCTTTTGGTCAGGGGAAGGGAGATAAATAAATAAAAGGAGTTTTCCCAAAGACCTTATACAATTTCAGTATCATGGCCTGTTTTGGTATAGAAGGGAGAGGAAAAAAAATATACTAACTCTTGATAAAATTAATTTTTGTAAATTCAATATTTTTCTGCTCTGTTCATTTATATTTTTCTTTTACTCAATTTGACAACAGATTAGACATAGTGAACCCAAATAAATTTTAAGCTAAATTCAAAAATAATTTTTTGAGAGAAAAAAATAAAATATTTTATTTGTGTTATTAATTATTTTAAAATAATTTGGATTAAATTTGAAGATTTCTAAATTGTATTTTTTTTTATTATTTAAAATATTGAGCAAAATATATTCTCTAATAAGTACAGAAAATATTAGATTAAAAAAGAAATTATGAAGCGAATGGTTCTTTAGAAGAAAGAAAAATATAAAGATTAAACTGAAAAATAAAATTCATAATTGCTGCTTAAAACTAAAGAAATTAACATTTAGAAAATAAAAAAAGTTAATATTTTTCACAAGAAATGAAGAGTAAAAATTAAAATGTTAAAGAGTTTTTTTTTGTGGTAAGCAAAATATAGAAAAAGAAAAAAAAAGTGAAATAATTCTTTTTAATCTAAAAAAAAACTTTCAAGTAAAGAAATGGATTTGATAAGTTTTGCTATGTAATGAATGTTGGCAACCAATGCACCAGTGCTGCCTGAATGAACATCCTTGATGTAGCAAAAGTAAGAGAGCTTTAAACCACTGGCATCCGATCTGATTGTTTCTGTCTGCTTGCCTTCCATCCTTTTCAGCAGATGAAAATGTAATGATTATGACCCGCCATGCAAAAATTAAGCCGACCAACTTTACGCGCCACGGTTGTCAAGGTCTTTCACTTTGTAGATACGCACCAACCAGTGCTCTGTTGTGTAGGCCTCTTCCAAAACATCCAATTCAAAATCTTTGTTGCCAATTTCTGCATTGCGGACTCTGTCGTAGCCAGTGGGCTTTCCTGAAGAATAAAAGAAAAAGGAGAAATAATAAATTGCAAATAAAAAATTTGTAATAAAGCATCTGACCATAATTCAGACTTGAAAAAATGTTAAGTTAATTAAAAGATAGAACAGTTTACTAGGACGAAATGTAATTGAAATCTTTTTAATCACTAAACAATCCACAGTAAATTCATGTTCAGCTTCTCTTACAGCATTTCACCTTTCATGACAAATCTATTATCACAATGTGGATATTTAATAACAAGTGATAAAAAAAAAAAAAAAAAAAAAAAAAAAAAAGTAAATGAAATCAGCTAGGTTTTTTTTTTTTTAAGCATTTCACCCCAAGCAAGGCGGGGAGCCACTAGGACGCAAGGGGTTACAGAAAATAGGAAGATCAGATAGGAGTGATAGAAGAAAGGATAAGGGTAGTAGATAGATTAAGGCAACTGGAGATGTCGATTGACATTACACTTGAATAGCTGGAGATTATAACTCTCAGGGAAACAGGAGAAGGGAAGAGAGTTCCACAGGCGAGAGGTGCGAGACATGAAGCTATTAGAGTAGAAGAGACGGCTACATTTAGGAGTTTCGACAGTGAAGGGGTGAGAGCGGGATGCCAGCCTCGTAGGGCGCTTGAACTCATGAAGTTTGGGAACCAGCGAATGCAGTTCCTCGGAGCAATTTCCATGAAAGTATTTGTAGAACAGACAGAGGGAGGCGACGGTGCGTCTGTGAGAAAGTGACTGTAGACGAGACGCCAGGGCAGGGCCAACCATATTGCATATCCGCTTGAGCCTATCAAGAACCCCGAGGCAAACAGAAGGGCACCAGACCATATATGGCAGCAATACTCCATGCAAGGGCGAATTGTGGATTTGTATATCTGGAGGATCGACTCAGGGAGAAAAACTTCCTAGCACGGCTCAGGGAGCCAAATTTCCTTGCAGTGGACGAGGCAATTGACTCGATGTATTTATTCCATCTCAGGTCAGCAGTCAACGTGAGACCGAGAAGCCGCAGAGAGTTACTCTCGAGAAGTTGAGCGTCAGACATTCTAATGGAGGGAAGGGAAGGCTCTCTGTGGTGATTAATAGAGAGCAGTTTTGTCTTTGAAGCGTTGAAGTTGACCAGCCAAAACATGCCCCAGTTCACAATTGATTGGAGGTCCTTTTCGAGACGCACGGCAAGGTGAGTTTTGTCAGCGAGACTGGATTTGTTTTTGAGGCAGGAATAAATTGTGGTGTCATCCGTGTAGATGCCGACTTGAGAAGTTACGGCATCAGGAAGGTCATTTATATAGATAAGGAATAGAGTGGGACTAGGATGGAGCCTTGAGGAACACCTGCGTTCGTTGGATAGGAACTGGAGGAGAATCCGTTGTGAACGACCTTCAATTCACGGTTTGACAGGAATGATTGTATTACGTTATATAATTGACCTGTAATGCCATAACCCTGGATCTTGCGGAGAAGGCCGGCGTGCCAAACCCTATCAAATGCTTTGGAGATATCTAGTGCCACGGCTCGGGCTTCCCCGTTATTTTGGAGAGTTTGGTAGACTGTTTCCGTGATGGCTGTGAGCACATCGGCTGTAGATCTGGCAAAGCGGAAACCATATTGCTTGTCTGAGAGCAGATTATGGGATGTGAGGTGGTTAACCACCTCGGTATTGATTAGAGCTTCGAAGATTTTGCCGAAGAGGGTAAGGAGACTGATAGGACGGTAGTTGGAAGGGTCAGAGGGGTCGCCGGAGTTCTTGAAGACAGGAACGATCGAAGGTTATACCCAAAGCACTATATATATATATATATATATATATATATATATATATATATATATATATATCTCTCTCTCAGCATATCTTCTGCTTTGTGAGCATGTGAAGTCATATAAACGTTACTTTAGTCTGAAAAGTTCTAAAGGACAAAATGAGTTGCACAAAAACATTTTCCACTTTCTCATACCCGACCCTGGCCATAAAGCACCAGTAAATGGCCTGCATGCTCAATGTTATGGTTAGAGAATTGAACTAAATCTTGAAAGGTCTAAAGTTTTCTTGAAAGGACAAAAGGTGAGTGAGGATTACAAATAGCCTAAAGTGACCAACTGTCATAATGCTATGGAGGACTGTTAGCTCTAGAGCAAGAGCTCTCTGTAAGAGAGTAATGGCTAAAATTTCAACCCTGATCCTTTTTGGAAAAGGACTTGTTATGACACATATTTTGAAGATTATGCAAATACAAATAAATAACTTTATGTGAATATGAATGAAAAAATACTGTCTTATTTGCTAAGATTTTATTTATTTATTTATTTTTTTATTACTTTTCAGCTGTTTCTTCTATTCTAGCTTGACTACTCACCAACCATTAGTATGATGTTGGTATAAAGTAGCAGCTTTTGATGAAATTTGCACCTCTTTTCAAATCTTGTTGAAAGTTACTTCCTTATACTAATTTTATACAAACAACATTGCAATAAAAAGCAATAAAGTTGGAAAAAAAAAAAAAAAAAAAGATTTCAAAATTAATAATGAAAATACTTCATCTTGAGACTATTGTTCATTTTCATCCATTTAGGTCTTAAGCAACTCAGTGTAATTTTGGGTGCTAGGAACATATTTGGAACATTAGAAAAGATGAAAAGAAAACTGTCAACCAAAACAAATCTTAGTTGAATTTGGTCAATTAAAAGCAGATGTAATCATAAAATTTTGACATTGTCACATTTTTTTCTTTTTTCAAAAATAGAATATAAATTTTGATTTTAATGTGAAGTGGATCATTTTTTCCATACAATTCAAATTGAAAACTGTCAGATTATTGTAGCAATGATCAAGTTAAAAAAGAAAAGAAAAAAGAAAGCTGGGGGGTGGGAGGGGTATTCTTGTTTTTTGTGCAGCTGCCTTCATCTAAAACTACTAATAAACCCAAGAAAATGACAAACACATTATTGCCTGCTAGTAGTAGAGGGAATAAAACCAGGGTACTTACCAGACTCGGTGTATACAGATCCAAATTGGTAATAGCACATCTTGTACATAAGGCAGTTAAGAAGGACGGGAGAACCTTCTTTGTCAATACGGAACTCACCCTGGGGAGTGTAATAATCAGCCTCTTTAATGTGGGTACCTTTCTCCGTGCTGCCACCAATCCTCACCATCCACAAGAATTTGTTGATATCTGGTGGAAGAAAAAAAAAAAAAAAAATGTACTCAATATTGACAATTTAAAGAGAAGGTGCATTATGTCAACATTGAATGGGAGTTTAGGAAAAAAAATGTCCTGTCTAGAAACTTCATTGTAGAAGGCATATCTACAGGTTTGTTTAGTACACCTGGATAAATTTGCTAGTTACTTAATATATCATTTTAAAATATCTGTTAATCATGTAAGAACATTTTTTTTTATCTTCCAGCTTTCTAGTTAAGTTTGAAATGTAATGTTAAGTCTTAATTCCTGTTCTTTTATTGTCCTCTCTGCTTAATTTTTCTTTTTTCATTCATATTCTCCTACACTCAGTAAACTCTTGTAAAGTGGCTTTATTGTTATGCTTGGGGTGAAATGATATATAATTTTATCCTCTTCCTAAAAAATAAAAGTTAACAGCATCAAAATTTTTTTTTTTTTTTTAAAGACAACTGTACTCCTATTAACACAAATTAACTCCACTACTGATATTAGGTGTTTTAATCAGCTTAAAAAAAAAAAAAAAAAATTTACTAAATCTATTTATTAGACCCAAGAATAAAAAAAAATTAAGTAAGCAACCAGAGTACAAATTCTTTCACAAACATTAAGCAATTCATGTACTGGTTGCTTACAAAAAGTACAAGTCATTGTTTTTGCTTTGTTTATTACTTCAAATGTTATTATATAGTGGTCACATCTTATTTGAAATAGATGCCCCATTTTTATCTATTAAAGAGTGCTTATGTCTTTGTCTTTATTATGCCTGCACTTGAGAAATCTTAATAAAATGTGTCCCCCCTCTGGGGGGGGGGCTACCATCTGATCTGGGGCGTGCTTTACCACTTGACCACGAAGGATTTCAGTGAGCAAGGCTCTTTTTACTCTAAGGAAAGCACATCCTCTTCATTTAGATTATTAATTTTTAGATGTGCTGGTCTTATCCTGTTTCTAGGAATTAAATCAAGAACAGTCCTCACCATCTGATGAATAGCCTGTCAGGCCTCCAAATATAACAAGAACATAATTAACATCAAGCTCTCGCATAATTTCATACGCTTTGTCTTCTGATGATGCCATTGCCTGTAAAGAGAAGAATACAAAGAAAATGGAATGTCACAAAATTCCAGAAGTCTAAACAGTGTTCCCAAAAGAAATGGAGTACAAACTATAAATAATAGCAAAAGTCAGAGATGACCAAAAGCAAATCCTTGCTTGCTTTCTTGGTAAAATTCCCTAAACTTTTAGCTAGAACCTTGTATATGTTATTTGTATTGTCTCAACACTTAGGCTTATTTTTCATGAATACAACAACTGATGAAGAGATTTTCTTAAGCCTTTCCAGAATGAACTTTTATGACTTTGAATATCAGGAGTTCATGGCCAAGATTTACTTCATCCATGGAGACCAGCATTTCTCAACCATGCCTTGAAAGGTAGCCAGGTGTGATTCAAGTTAACAGAAAAGTAATTTATGAATTATTTTTATATTTAAAAAAAGTCTTTATTTTAAAAATCTAGAGGCACCAAGAATATGGTGCCTCTAGATTTTCTATATAAGTAAAGTCTTTGACACCTGATATTTTAAACTATGCTAAATTCCTTATTCTCATCTTTAAGGAGTGGATAGTCCTTTCCCCCTTTTGCCTTCTTCAGGGGATTTAAAGCAGTCAATCAGTCATTATTTATCAGCCTCTCTCTAAACAAAAAACTGTACTTCTTAAATATACAATGTAATGTCTAAAAAAGAAATGCTTATTTATTTCAGGAGATTTCTTTATTATTGTCCTAAAATTTAATCACTAAGTATTTCCTTATTAAAATTTAAAGTGTTCCTCAGAGTTTTAGTTATTCTACAAGTGCACACTGGAGTAAAAAAGGTTGAGAAACACTGATGTACACAGTAAAAGGCTCAGAATCTCATCTTAAATATTATGAATAATTAAGCATTTTCTATTAATTATTATTATTTTTTTTTTTTTTTACTAATATTTCATTTAATCTCGGTCACTTTCTCTTGCAACTCGTCAGTCATTAATAAATAGCGGATCTGCATTGTTGACTAACAGCTGAAAAATGATAATCTGAATAGTTGCAATAGAAAGAAACTGAAATTAAGATGGTTGTATGTGGAAAATCTCTTCAATGACAAACAATCACACCAGAAAATCTAACAATTTATTGATGGGGAATATTATAAACAAAAAGCAAAACAGAGGTTTGTTTTTTGATTGCTTCAATTCTCCTTGTTATTCATAATGTAGTTGTAGTAGCCTTTCCAGTCCCATAGGAATATTCCTTTGTGTGGTTCATTAACAGGATGAATGTGTGCCCGTCTTCATGCGATAGAGATTTTCTTAGCACACTATCCCGAGGTCTTTCTGGTAACTCTTGAAACTAAATGCTTCACTGGCTTATACAAGATTTCCCTGTGCACCCCCCCCCCACATTTGAAAATTTGACATTGATATTTGTAAAAATTTCCACTTTCATCTAGATTATCTAAATATTCATTGGCAAAACATTTCTCCAACTTTTAATGAACATTACCTTATGGCTTAGCATTGTATTATTAAGTATTTGTTGCTCTTGGATCAGATTTCAGCTTGGAAACACTATTCTTATCAAACCACCTTTGAGAAATTCCAAAGTTAATTTGCTTGGGGTTAAACTTTTGGATTCCTCTCGGCAACTGTATTTTATGTTTCATTTTTCCTCCCAACTGGGGAATTTTCACAATTTATTTCTAATCATCATTTTGCATTGTCATACAATAAATGTCCAACTATGGCCAGTACACTGTTACACAAAAGTTGATACCAGTTAGCTGAAAATACTTTTTATGTATATTTTGGAAGTTGCTGAAAAAAAAAAAAAACAAGAGAAAGAGAATACTGACTTTTTGATAAAATATTCACTTGCTAATGAAAAATTTGATACAAATAAGAACAGGCATCTGCCAATTGGTCCTGAAAATTAAAGAAAACATTTGGCAACATTGATCCCCCACCCCGTATAGGATGGGTGCCCCCCCCCCAAAAAAAGGATTGAAAGAGTTAAATAGCTAAATTCATCCCAAAAAACAAGCTTCCTCAAACTCAAAGGATAAAAGTAGACTGTAATTATGTATGAAATGTCAATTAAGAAATAAATAAATAAAAGAAGGTTGGTTAGTTTACCTGACCAACCCTTGATATGTGTGTATTATTCCAGGTATTATTATCCACTAATATTGTCCGATTTGCCATTGCTGTAATTTGATAACCGTAATCCCACCATGACATCACTTTGGCATTCTGAAGAAAAATAATAAACAGAATTATATACAAGCTTACAAAATGGTTTCAGCTTTAAACAAAAAATAAAAGAATCTCATTGAAATCAACATATTTAGAGTAAAAAATAAGTAACTGTTTAAGCATAAAATTTTGTAATGTTATTAAAGGTTTATTAGTGAAAAAAAAACAAAAAAAAAAAAAACAAATTGTCATGTAAATAAAATTAAAAAAAATTAAAAACACTGATGTAAAAATTATTAACTTTATAATTCTGCCTGATAGGAAGGCATGTAGTTTGCATGTATGTTATGCCCTGCCAATATCTAATAAATAATGGACTATTCAATTTTAAATGGAGAAAAAAGATGATGGAAAAAAAAAAAAAAAAAAAAATGGCTTCGTTTTTTAGTGAGAAAAAGAAAAAGATAAAGGATGCAATAATTCTTTCATGTGCTTAATATCTGCTTTAGTGAAATGGAAAAGCTTGTCAATTTTAAATCTTTTCATTTGTACCCTCTTACTTCTTTAAATAACCACCTGCATTCATACTTATGATTGTTACCGCAATATTTGGTTAAGAGACAATAGGGGTATTCCCATGGGCATTTTAGCCATAGAACTTGTAAGGATCTTATATTCAATCATTAAATATTATGATTGATCGGAAAATTCAAATCGAAAAAGCCTTAAATTTTCACTGATACTACTTATAATAATTGTATTATAACTATGTCTATCAAGAGAGACAATCAGCAGAATATGTTGCTAGTAAAATCTTTGGATATCCTTGAGGTACTATCAAAAAGTTCAGAATGTGAATATAATGTAGTATAGACATGTGCCTGTAATGACTGACAGATACCTGTATACCTGTTCAAACAGGTTTACTTTGAAGGAGAAAGTGGAAACAAGGTATTAAGGTAAGTAAATCTTTCTTTTTTTTTTTTTTCTTCCCTAACTTTTGGGTAATACCTCATATGCTCTCTCTCCCATCTATTGTGTACAGATCAGTATTTAAATTTCTTTTTACAACATTTATTATTTGTTTCTGCTTTGTATTGAAACTGTTCCCAGTGTTGTAATTATAAGTTTCATTTACTCTTTCAAAATAAAAATATTTAAATATAAAATACTTGGAAAATATTCAGTGGCTATGAGCCAAATATTTTGAGCGCAGATATTAAATATAAAGCAAAATCATAAATTACTTCGGGTGTATTATGTCGCAACCAATAGTAAGCTTCTCTGAAATCATCAAATATAATCCTGCCTCCATCTCCTGCTCTTGCTGATAAAACAATAGAAGGACTTGAATAAGCCTCAGACGTAACCCAAGTGCAGTGGAACGTATACATTACGAGAAAAGTTGTGATCATTAATACAACACCAGACGCAATCTGAAACAAGGAAAAAAAAAAATAAAAAAAATAAACAAAATAAACAAAAACTAGATACAAGTACATGAAATCAATGTCTATCATTTGGGATCTGGTGACTAATGGAGTAAAATATATTTTGCTATAAAATTAAAAATACCCGAGATGTGGGAAGAAGTGGGTGTAGGGAAGAAGGTGGGTAGGGAAGAGAGAAAAACAAAAACTTTCATACCCTGTTGTATGAAAGTAAGTGTGGCTAAGACCATGTAAAATGGAATTAGTGAGCAAGGTTCAAATTCCAGCTGAGGCTGCTTGCTTTGTATGCTTGATAAAAAGCAGGAATCCATCTCTCCACCCAGCCCCTTAACAAGGAGTGAAACAGTAGGTCAGACTAGGCCCTTTAGCATTTGTATGACAACCAATATAAGAAAAGGACAACTCTGAATTCAAAACTAGTACTAAGTGGGTTTCATCAGCCTATGTTGCTCTAGATACCAACTGCAGCTACTGTAGTTGCAGTACATGTGAGGTACCAATGTCCCTACAATAAATTACTTCGCAAATCATTTGAATGCTTTGAACATTTTGACTGCAAATCCTAAACTAAATACTGAACAAAGTATCTTATCAATTGGTAAATGTGCTGAAAATTAAAAGCTAATTCATACTAACCATAAAACATTACCATAAACATTTTTTCATATTTTTTTTTATTAGACAAAATAAATTTAAGTACATGAAAAATTGAATTTAAGACTTGCTCAAATAATTCAATGTGATACAAAGGATAAATCAAAATGATGGAAAAAAAAAAAAAAAAGAAAAAAGGACAATGGGGTTGTTTAATTAAGCCGTAACAGTTATTTCCCCTTGACACAAGAAACAAAAGAAGTCACTTTCGTACTTACTTCATTTCTGAGAGGATATGATGAATCTGGTCTTTTCAATTTCTTCTCTTTTCGTGATGCATCTAAATTTTTCATGTAAGTTGAAAGTGTTGAAGAGAGTCCAATTCCTGAGAGGATGCACATGACAGGGGCAAGTACCAACATCAAACGCACCATCACACCCTGAAAGAAACCAGAAGCAGAGGAGTGGGGGGGTGATCATAGAGATTTAGATCACAAACGATCCCACAATGTAGCCAAAAATAAATATTAAAATTTATTTCATATTAGAAATAAAATATATCTTATTTTAGTCAGTTCTCAGATATAAATCTATTAAAGAAAATAGATGTATTTAAAAAATCCATTTCTCAAATGTTTTACAAAATATCTGACATTTTAAGTTCATGCAGAATTAAGAAAATTACTTTCAACCCAAACAAACAAATTATATCCAATAATATTTAACAAGTGGACTTCAAATTTAAGAGAAAAAAAAATCATCTTAGTTTCCTTGTAGGCTCTGATGATTATTAGACACACTCCAAAGGGAAAAATTGTGGCTTGTGCTGAGCTTAAAATAATGTTTATGCAACAAAGCTGCAAGTACATAATAGCTACCAATAGAAACACCCTGCCTGCCCAATACTGCAATGCCACCGTTTGGCAATTCTAACAAATTTTTACTCTGAAGAACTCATCATGACAACAGTAACCTAAATATTTAATAGCAAAAAAAAAAAAAAATGGATTTCCATGAACTCTGTCTTGTAAAATAAATAGCTTTCTGGCCAGACTAAAGAAAAAAAAAAAAAAAAAAAAAAAAATATAAATTCAATACCACTTGGTTAGGATTAGGGTTCTTACTATTTTTCTAATAATCGGTATTTCTTTAAATTTCAGTTTTTTTTATCTCTTTCTCTACATAAAGTGTTTTAATTACTTAATTTTTCAACTTTAACAATATACTTAAAACAACATTTTTCTTTTAATTGATAAATTTTTCAACTATTGCAATCTGCTACTATCTGCAATCTTTTGTTAAAGTTAACAACTTTAACAAAATATTTCAAGCTTAACAAACTCAAATACTTAACGATGTGATATGAGAATATCTAAGGATATTTTATTGTTGTAGAACTCACCATCAGAAGATTCAAAGAGGAAAACTAAAATTTTCATGGGTATTTCTACTTTATAATGTTTCTCTATCTTTAGTTAGATTTGGATCCAAATTAAGGTTAAAAATAGTTCTCTTATTATCAAAATAATAAAATAAACAGATTATTTTTAAAGCTTGTTCCTATTTAAGCTACAGATAACCTTCAACTATAAAATGTTTTTAGTAGTTGTTCAGAGATAAAAACTGAGCCAATTGTAGGAGCGACAAAGAGTGGAAACTAAGTTATCTACTTACTGCAAAGTAGATGCTTGTCACACCATACATAATGATGAAGATATTAGCATCAGTAAGTCGAGTAAAACAGAAGTATAGACCAGCTACAAAAGAGAAATAGAGAAAAAAAAAATTAAATGAAGAAAGTTCATTGTTCAAGACAGGTTGCCCCAAATAAAGAGGACAATTTTATTTATTTTCCAATCAAATTAAAACAAGAACATTTCTAGTAGTAAAATCAGACCAACAGATGAACAGAACAGTTTCAAATTGTCTTTTAGAAACAAGAAAATTGTTATTTGTATATTGAACAGCTTCTTAATGAGTGCTCAACTAATATTGCCATGTGCCAGACTAAGCAAATTTCAAATTTATATAATATATATATAAAGAGGTGCACTAAAAAGTCTTTGGCCCAACCAAGAAGTGTTGGGAAATAAGTTCAGATGTTTGATCAATTTGGGAAATGTGTTTTGTCAAATTCGATATGTTGAATGCCAGAGTTTTGGACAAGGAAGATTCAATGGCACTGATGGGCAGATGGTTATGGAGAAAAATACGAAGTTAGACCATTTCTGAAGTGGGACGGCAGTGTTCACATACCAGTTGGAGGTCACCTGATTTGATAAGTCATTTTCTCCTGAATAAAGTAGGCAGCAGGCTATATATCATGCCACCAAGATGCAGTGCATGTGCCCCCCCCGGGGGGGTAGAGAAAGAGAGCAAGAAGGGGGGGAATTTAAACTAACATTAAGCTGTCCTATCCTTCATGTGGAAGGTACTTACTTTTTGTCATCATTGAAGACCAGGTACACCTTTTCTGTGATGACAGTGGCAACTTTTACCTTGGTGTATAAATATGGTTTTAGAAACAGTTACTGTGTTATCCTGGTCCCCATTCAATCCTATTGCAGCAGTTAAAACACCTGCTGTTAACATCCTGACACCCAATTTTTAAAGGAAACTTTCAGAGTACTTGTACATCTAATACTCTTTACATAATCAGGAAGAACCAACACCGTATAATATTTTGTCTCATCAGTGTTTGGAGGCATATTTTAAGAAATTTGATAAAATGAAAAAAAAAAAAAAAAAAAAAAACGTTTTCATCGAAACTAGATCTGATTATGCAGCAACTTGTCTAATTTGTTGTCAGTAGAAACCACTGAACATATTCCCAGAGAATATAGATAGAAGAATTTCATTTCAGCTAAGAAATGACATTAAGCAAAAAGGCATTTGAAAGCAAGATGGTTGGTTGGTTGAGTTTATGTCATATCAACTCTTGCTGGGTTATTTAATGTTGAATTTTGTATGGGGGCATCCAGTGAGGATCAAACTCATTGCTCAGTAGTAATAGTCAACCAGACTAGCCTCACTAAATCTTACACTACACAAAAGTGCCTGACTATGTTGATCAAAAAAGTATGAAATATGGGATACCTATACTTAGAATCAGATGGCATCCAGCAATGAAACTTGGATGAAGTTGCATTCTATCTGATAAGCAGGAATTTGTCAAAAGTGAAACAACTCAGTTTAAGTCATTAAAGCAGTAAAGTTCATGGGTTAAATGCCTGATGATTTGTAGAACCAGAGAAAACAATGGTTCAAGAGGGCTGGTTAAAAATGATGGTAGCTTGAATGGCAAATAGATCCAGTTGTTGAAGGATCATTTGATACTAAAATTGGATTAAAGCAACTTCAGTAAAAGCAAGATTTTTTTTAGCCTGATGGATCTCCATACCACAGATTGTGTCCAACACAATGGAGTGTCTGATGAAGGTATCAGTGTAATGGAGAAAAAAAATCAGTCAGCTCAAAATCTTGGCTTAAATACTATTGAGAAAATGTGGATAAAAGTAAAGAAAAGAGTTTACCATAAGAATCTTCACACTCTTTAAGAATTATTTGTTCTCAATCACAGACTATAAAATCTCATACCTGTGAATATAGAGTAAGATATGTACATATCCTACCCCAGGTACACCAAAGCAATTATTCAAGCAAAGGGAAGCCACATGAAATATCAACAGCATACAGTAACTTCTTGAAATGAAAATGTGTAAGAAATTTTTATTGTAGACATTTTTTTCTGTTTTGAAAACAAAGCATCTGACTGAAGTCTTTTATACAGCCACTTTTGGCAGTTGTATTTACATTTTCCCTCCCCACTCAGTTCTGCTACAAAATATGATAATTAGGTTTAAAAATGACTCCAATAAAGCCAATGTTTCATCTGTAGAAAACACATTACAAAAGATCCACTTATAAGCTAACAATTATTAGAAATTTATAAGAGGCCAAAGACTTCTTTTGCACAGTAGTACAGATTTTAATTCTATGTCTGGTAATTGCACAGGTCTCTATTTTCTCTGGTGGTATCACAAATAAAACTTGGCCAGACTGTAGGTATATTCATTAACTGTACGAATTTTATTAATTGGCTATGAAGATAATGTTAATGAGAAAAACAAAAAAAAAGATAAGCATATAACCTACTTGGAAACAAAAAGACCAACATTTGAAGATCAAAGTAGAAAGAGCTCCAAGTTGTAGGTTGATGTTCAGAGACAGAAGCAATAATGGGTATGTTATTTTTGGCATAAGAAGGATCCAAAAGGGCATAGAAACGACCCGTCCAGGGAGAGATTTCTGAGATCACAAGTTAAGGAAATAAACTTCAAAGATGAAAGGCAAACAGGATATGACATCACCTGAAATTACACTGCCTAATATTAAAATTAGTAAAAAACAAAAAAAAAAAAAAAACAAAACAAACACACAATATTATATATATATATATATATATATATATATATATATATATATATATGTATGTGTGTGTGTGTGTGTGTGTGTGTGTGTCACACTTTTTCAATTTTACTCCTAGAGGTCATAGCCTAGCATATCATACCATTTTGAAATCAGGCTGACTGTGAGCAAATTAAAAACATTCTAGGCTGGATCCAGACTTGCAATCCTGAAATTTTGGATTCCCAATTTTTCATTACTGCAATTGTTTGATTTTTTTTTTTGCATAATTTTCATAAATTTGAAATAAATTTGGGAATAATCAAAATTGCATAATCCAGTGAAAATCACCCATGAAATAAAAATAACTATTTGTATGGAAAGTAAGGACCTACATACATCAAATTATCTTTAAATTAAGTGGCTGCAGAAGAATTATCATTGAACTTTAAAAGTTAAGATTAAATAATGCAATACTTAAATACAGTGATCAATTTGGAGTTCTTTTGTAGTTTATGGTTACCTATCACAGACGGCAATAGTATGTCTTGCAAAAAGAAATCTCCAACAGAGGAATAGATTGCAATCAAAAGAGCCAAGGCTGCAGCGAGGAAAAGAAAGTTCTGTGCAAATGAAAAACCCAGGTCAAACAGCAGCCAGGAGAGCTTCCAATGCTGAGAATATGCAAAGACTTAGGCTCTCAAACTCCTGGAGAAGCTGAAGGCCCAATCAAGAGCCCTCCACAGAGCTAACTTAAATGCCACCCAAAAGAGTGGCTTTTAAGCTAGTATATATATGGTTATTAAAAAAAGAGCAAATTTAAAAAATTTAATATAAACAATTGCTAAGAGACAAACACATTCAACAGATTACTGGATAGGAAAAGGTTCAAATTTTGTTATTTTAAAGTTGCTCAACTTGTATGCCCTCAATATGAGCACCATATGCTGCATGACAAACATTGAAACAGTATTCCACTTCTTGCCACACTCAAATCAATTGATCTGTGGATAATGACTCCACAGCTTCAACAATTTGATGTCTCAAATTGTGAAGAGTAGCAGGCATAGGTAGAACAAACACTCTTTTATATACCCCCTCCATGATGAAAATCACGTGAGGTAAAATCTGGTGATGTGGGAGGCCACAGAACAAGATCCTCTTTTCCACAAAATTATAACATTTTAAATTTATATAAAATCTGAAAAGAAAAACTAACAAAAAGCATTTAAATAAGATTAAAAAAAAAAAAAAAAGTTCATTTTAATAACTGAACCTTTTCCTATCCAGTAATGTGTTGAATGTGTTTCTTTCTCTTAGCATTTGTCTTTATTAAATTTTCAAAATCTTTTTAATAACTATGTATATATAATTATTTAGAAAACAAGAGGCTTTTATTGAAAATTGTTTATTTTAGTATATCAGATTCTTTTAAAATAATTTATTTTAATTAAGGTCCCATGTGCCCCACTAGTTTACTTCCTCTACATACACACTCCTAGCATTTGATAAATTTTAGGATATATAACGTTGAAGAGTAATTTTTTTTTTTCATTTCTAAAGTCCTGGTTATGCCTCTAATTTCCAACAAACATCACAAAAACTAATCTTGTAAAACAAAACTTTTTGTCACTTCTTTTCTATATTTTGAAAAGAAAAAATACAGAGACACACACACACACACAATTGTTTCATATTGTAGGAAGAAAGCACTTGTATCAAACAATGAAATGTATAAACATTGCAGCAGCATTGCAAATAAAGGATACTTCCTGTAGCAGTGAGAATAGCACCAACAGCAGTGACTGCACCCCCGGCCAACATCACCATTGTACGGAACAGCAACTGGAATTGTTCCTTGTTCAACTTAGAACGTACATAGTCAATAAATGCATGAATTTGACATAAGCCAAACACACCAAGAGCCTGAAAAGAGAATACAGAACATACAAGGATTAAATTCTAGAGGCAAACAATTTAGAAAAGAAAACAATTTTAAGAAAATAAATGCTTCAAAATGTTTAAGTTAAAGAAAAGTATCAAATATTTCTATTTCAGGAACCAATTGCTTTATATAAATTAACCTTTATTTATACAACAATCATCATTTGCTGCTCTTAGGCAAGAAATTAAGTTAAGGAGTATTTTATCAAAGTATTCACCTAGCCCCACTCTTTGGCTACAATTTGTGACATGACATTATCACAACTTCATTAATGGATGTAAGAATTTGTTCATGATAAAATTTAGGGGAAGTCATATTGTAGAATAGTTAAAACATATTACAAGAGTGAAATACAATAATAGTAATTACTAAGATAAGGCAAAACTAATTTACAAAAATATTAAGAAATGAAATTAGAGACAGCAACTTACAGCCATATGCTCACTGGATTGCACAGGTTGGAAGCCAACAAATGAAATTTGCATAGAGAGAACAGTACCCAGACAGTACACCTGTAAATAATAACAAAAGGTTAAGAGAAGAGCCTGATTAAAGAATAAAACATGTAGCAGACAGAGTAACCAATTCTATAAAACTAAATAAAAAAAGCAATAGCACTGAAAAGCCTTTCCCCCCCCCCAAAAAAAAAAAAAAAATATTATTATATATATATATATATATATATATATATTTTCACATAGGATAGCAATAAAGCCATTATACAGTTACTTCCAGTAACAATTAAGACAAAGCAATTAATCAACAGTCTAGAAATTTATTAAAATGGTTCTGGTTAATAACAACAGAATGCTGCAGTAAACAATAGTAAATTAATTATGAATGTATAGTGATAATATATATATATATATATATATATACACACACTAGTTAGAATAAAAAAAAAAACAAAGCATTGAAGCAGGTGGCTTGCAGTTCAAACAGTATTGGTAATTAATTGCTATCCTATGTGATTACATATATTGTAGCAGAAAAACTGTCAAAATCATAACAGCATAATTATCTATCCCACAATGGATAATATTTATTAAAAAAAAAAAAAAAAAAAAAACAACCCCCCAAAAAAAAACTAAACTAATTGAGTTTCTTTTTTCCAGCTTTTCAGATGTTTAGCCATCATGACACCATTTTTCATAAGAATCACCGAAAAACCCTTTGAGTTATTCAGCTAAAAAAAGCAGGTTAAAATTGTTTTGTTTCAGATCCAGTATCTTCCCCACTGAACAATAGTGAGAAAGATCATCCAGGCACTAAGTAATGGTACCAATAGTCATAGTCTGGCTTCCATCTCCAAAGTACATTCAAGAACCATCAATAAAATAGTAAATAAGTTATATATATATATATATATATATATATATATATATAAAAAAAAGGTGGGAGATGGGCAGTAGAGAAAAAAACTGGATCAGGAGGTCACAAAAGGAAGAGGGATCATCATTTTAACTTAGAGTTAAAAAGATCAATTAGAAATGATCCAACTCAATTCATAAAACATTTAGCATGTGAGAGAGAAGTTTCAGTGATGACAGTCCAAAGAGCAGTGAAAAAGAGACTTGAAAATGAAATCATGGGAGGCACCTTGTTAATTTAGAAGATTAGAGAGGACAAAGATCATCTAGAAATATATATATATATATATAAGAAAATTATGAAAATTTTACATGTACTTTTAGGCTAGTGGAACTTATATCAAAAAGGCACAATAGATGACAAGAGCTATAATATTCACTAAAAGAAAATTATCTGGTTAGTCAACTTGAGTTTTGCATTAAAACACTCATCTGGACCAGATGTTTCATAATTTGATCTATCAAACACCTGGATTATTTGTGTGTGTGCGTTTGTACAAACTAAATTGCATACACCTGTATATATGTGTGTCTACGTATGAGAGCGTCATTCCAAACAAACATAGAAGAAATTACCTCTCCCTTGCACCACATACAGATAATCAAACACACATAAGCATAAATAGATCCACATTTTAGATAATAAATCAATTTTTCTGATGACTGCAAAAGTGTGAAAGTCAGGGTTTACAAACTACTATCCTTGCAAGTGTGTGCGTGTGTATATATATATATATATATATATATATATATATATATATATATATATATATATATATATATATGGGGTAAATTGTCGCCACTTTATATTTTTAATTTTGTGCATGTGCGTTGTTTGTTTTTGTTGACTGCACAGTGTAGTATGGTCAGTTGGGCACTGTCTCCGAGAAAAGGAGCACCATGATGCAATTCCCTCTGCCAGAAATTTGAAAATGGCATGCTGTACTGCTTGGCACTTGCATCAGAAGCTCCAATACAAACATTTCAAAGAGTTTAGGTGTCAATTTAAGGACAGTGCAGAGGATTTGGAAAGAGTTGGAATCACATGGTAATTATGAAGGTATGGCAGCTCAGAAAACTCACTGATCATTCTGATAAGAAAAGAATTCCCAAATTTGTTGGTGAGGGCCTCAGACTCAACACGGAGGCCTACATCGCCTTGAGGAGGAGGTGCTACCCTGAGTCAACAGGGAGGATGCTTGAAGACCCTATGTCTGACAACAGGACTCTGCACCATGGCACACAAGTAGGAGAACAGAGTCATGGCTGTCAGAAAATTTCTATGACCACATCACCCCTTACATCTGGCCACCTAACTCCCCAGATTGCAACCCCCTTGATTATTATGTGTGGGGCACAGTTAAGCAAGAGACCAACAAAACTCCTTGTAACACTAAAGATGAACTGAAAGCAAGGATTATGACAGTATATACCAACAAGGAGACCTCCAAAAAGAGTTTCAGAAGATTCCGATATCGTCTGGAGGCTGTGGTTGAAGCCAATGGTGATTTTATTGAATAAATTTACTCATTGGTATTTTAAGATATTTTTGTGTAATTTTGGTAAATATATCTTAACATGAGATATCAGTGTTATTTTTATTCTTGCATAATTTAAACGACAATTTATCCATCGCACTCTCTCTCGGTGTGTGTGCGTGTGTGTCCAGATTTTGGTAAGTAGGCCAAGTAAAGAACTTTCCCCTATAAATTTGTGCATTATAAATAGAAGTAATGTTCTTAGGTCCATAATATTAATATTTCTCTACAGCTCTTAACGATAGCTGATAATGCACAACTGGTAGTGAAAACTGAAACCAGTAACTTTTATCCTGTAAAGAGTAAATGATTGAATTCATGATAGAGAATGGATTATCAAATATTTTTAGTTTCACAGGAACAGGTGGTTTTTAATATAACATTTTTCTTTTAAAAGCAAAAAAGACGTAACATTTTTTAAATGTGATACTAAAATATTAAATATATTGGAATGGATTGATTTGTTTTTTTTATGGCTTATCAACCTTTTACAGACTATTTAAAGCCAGAAAATGTTTTTGTGATAATGATTTACTGATAAATATCCTACTAATTAACCCATGGCTGAGGGGATAAGAAGTTGATTCATACTTTTCCCAAGGGTATTTATGCATAAGTGAATAACTGGAATTACACCACCTGCACATCCAAGCTTACAACACCTGGTATTCTTAAGGTGCTCACCCATCCAGGTACTGACCAGACTCAATGTTAATACAACAGGGGAAAAAACAAAAAAAACCCACTTCTCAGTTTGATTTGCAGCCACTTTTTATTCTTAGAATAAAAAGTGACAGTGAATCAAACCAACAATCAAAAGATCTACTAGTTTTTAGAAAAGCCTTGCTAAGTGACTAAGCAACAAATTTATGTCTTATGGGTTAAAAAGCATTGATCAGTTTTATTACATTGATAAAAAGGCTATTATTCATCAAAAAGGTGCTGAAATGAGCGAGTTAGACAAGACAAGATTACAAGATCAAGCAGAGCCTTTGTTGTCACTGTTTGCAATCAGCAAGAAAGACATTTCCTCCTGTTACAACACTTTGTAATCCTTTATTCCTCCTCTCACTCAAGAGAAGAATTTTTTTTTTTTTTTTAAACATTACACAATGATTTTAAGAAAACTTTAAAAAGGCAGAAGAGTAGAATTTTAAATAAAAAAATGTTAACAGTAAATTGGAAAAAATTTAAGCAGTTATCAATAATGGAACAAAAAAATATTTAAATAAACCTAAACTGACCTTTGTCTACCTTCCGCTTACAATAATGTGTTACAAGGACCAAGTAAATGAAATAAATCATGTTGCAAACTGAAGTGATAAAATTTGGTGGGAAGGTATATGAAAGGGCATTTGAAAGTTCTCAGCCAGACTCATTTCTCAAAATCTGACCATATGATTAACATCAGAATTTATTTTGGAATCTCTTATTGGTCAGGCTGAGAACTTCTGTACCATTCATAAATAAAAGCATCTCTAAAGACAATGGGTGCCATCAGGAGAATAAACCAAGAAAGTGACTGCAGTTGGTTTACTGTGTTGCTTGAATGACTTACTGTAGAATATGCCACGTAGATGCGATGGGAAAAACGTCCAGTTAACATCAGAGCAAGGACATGAAGAGGGATCAAGTTGATAAGAAACACATAACCTCCCCATGAAGAGACCTGAAAGAGAAAAAAAGGATTTAATATTGAATTAAGAGTTAATGCATAAGTAAGCCTTACTTATTTTCTAAAAACAGTTGTTAGTTACTGTGTATGAGGGTTAGACCAGATCTTCTTGAAAGACATGACTGATAATTTTGTGGGGGTGGGAAGCGGGATCAACAATTTCAAGACTCAGCATTTTTAACCAAATCTTTAAATCCATAGCATCTTTATTCAGCCATTAACCTATTCTGAATGGCTTTCTATAACCATATGCCATCTTTTAGATAAATTGGATACTCCATTGTAAAATCAGTATTATCATGAAATTGTTGGAACCACAGATCAAAGAAAGAATGTTGTATGGATTGAAACCAGTGATAATATAAAGATGACCAGTCTGGAGATTAATGTGTTTGTAGAACTTTTCATTCCATTTCCATGATAGTTTGCTGTGTCGCATTTGCAACACGAGGATAAGCGTTGTTGCCTAGACAAGCAATAAGATGAAAAATTACTCTTTCACAGTGGAATACACTAGTTTTTTGGGATTTTTTTTTAATAAGCAACCATACTCAAATTTGACTAAAACTTAAGCAATTTCATGACTGATGTGTGTTAACCATTTAGCAATCAATACATTCAAACCTATCCCGTAAACATCAGTGGTCAAATTCTCACTGTTTGCATGACTCCCTGCATTATTTACAATGTCATCATATATTATGACACAGTATACACACAGTGGAAATTTTATGGGGTAGGTTAAGCAATATAGTACTAAACAGAAAGACTTACTAAATATGTTATTTTATACTGTATTCAAGAACTGTATAAATTCTATTAGTTTAGGTAGACTGGATCTAATAAATAGAAAAACCTATTTCAAACATAAAATAATTCAAGTTGCACAAAAATTAAGCAACCCCATCTGGCAGGAAGGTCCCCGATTGGGAATTTGAGGAATATGGAACCACCTCTTAATTGCTGTTGTTCCTAGGTCCACCAAGGATCCAGGGTGGTAGTACATGTTAGGGTCCCAGCTATGGGCAAATAGTTAACTTCCAAAATGGGGTCAAAACACTATGAAAGTATAAACATTTTATAGTAACAATACCAGCAATATATTCTCATAGTAAAAAACCCAAAAAACTGCCAGCAATACATTTTTGTTAAAAATTACTAATGCTGCCAAGAAAATTAAATTTTGGCATTAAATGATATATTGTTAAACACCTAATCTGAGAGATTTATTTAAGACAATAAGAGAAAGGCCATCATTGTTTAGACTCACCATGTAAAAGTAAGCAAGAGCACAGAGAGCACTCCAGAAGAGGGAGCCAGTCTTGACAGCTTTAATCCACATGGTGTATGTAAGTAACATGCAAAAAATGGCAATCCCTTCGTTATCATATGATCCAGCAACTGATCTGGAGATATAACCAGGAACAATGGAGATGAGAGAAGCAGCGATCAAACCGGCACCAGCATCCTGTAAAAAAAAAAAACAAAAAAACTTTACATTTAAAGAAAAGATTTAAGAAGTATGCTGCTATTACGATAAATTTGTTTTTAATATCCAGATATATGAGGTAGCCCATCTGAAGGATTCTAGATTTTAGACAATGGCTGAATAATGATTTATTTTAGCCAAAGGATATTTGAAGACATAAAATTTTGCACATTAAGTAAGTCTATAGCAATTCTTGAAAATTATTTGAGGATTTATTTTACATAGAGACTGATGAGATTTAAGAGAAGGTTTTTGTCATTGTGAGCTTTTGAATTCAAACAGTTAAATAAAATGCACTTGTGAAGTGTAACAGACAAGGGAATCAAATCATTAAATCAAAAGACAAAAGTTGATTTATGAGCAAACTAATAAATGAAAAAGTAAAAAGGCAGTTTATTAAATGACTGGCTACAGATTATATCATCCGTTTGATAAGACTAAACTACAGTCAACATAAAAATGAGTAAAAATACCTGCCATATTAAGAGAAGAGAGAGTTACTTAAACTGAACAAGAATAAAAAAAAAAAAAATAAATAAATAAATAAATCAATCCATGTTAATTTGTAGTCTTGATATATGCAATATGTAAGGAGGTGTTGAAAAGTTTGTCCTGACCAAGAAGCAAGAAAAAAAGTCCTTGATGCCTGTCAAGATTTTTGAAAATGGGTCACCACAATATAATAACACTTGAGTGACTGAATGAGATCAAAAAGGATGCAAGTTAAAAAGAAAATGACATTAAAATAAAATGAGACAGACATTAGCTAGACTAGTAGGCACCAATGTGATTCAGCACACAAAAAAAAAAAAAAAAAAAAAAAAAAAAAGGTGTGGAATAGAGTTAGTCATGGAACCTCCTAAACAGGCACACATTATTTTCAGGTTTTGTTGTGATTAATAATTATTTAGCCAAGTTTCATAGACACTCATCCTGCCTGACATCCTTTTGAGTAAATAATAAAAAGGTTTAAGCATATGAGAAAAGTAAGTAGAAAAAGACAGACATTTGAAAATGCCAGACATAAGTAATTTCCTAAAAAGGCTTTAGCAGCAGAAGTGCACAAAACAAAATTTAATTTATAAACTGCAAACAGGAATCCAAGATAACTTGCACAAAGAGCCCATCTTTGGGTTTACTTAACAACTGTATACAGAAATATATGCAAGTACTTCAAGTTTTTTTGTTTAACATTTAATTCTTAAAAATTGTTAAAATGTTAAATTGGAGTAAAAAAAAAAAAAAAAAAAAAAAAAGATTAAAATTTCATCATTAAATTTACAACATAAAAAAATAGGTTTACATTTGTACTAAAGATGCCAGTAACATTGTTGAATTAATTTATTGGTTTGGATACAAGACTTTTATCTTACAGATTTACTAACTTATCTCTAGAAGTGTTTACAAGAATATGCCAAGATTTTAAACAAGATACATAACTGACTTCCAGTACAACCAAAGTTTAAAATATAAATACATAGTCAGATATAGATATCATTTTGTATAAAAGAGAATGGTGTTTTATGACTCCTGAAACCTTAAGTTTTTCCTTTTCTTGTGTAATTGTGAAGCAGATTTTACCTTAAGTTCTTTGGTCAGTTGATATGTGATAAGGGTGGTGAGGCTGGAGAAGAGAGGTGCCAAAAAGACACACACATTACGAATGTCAATGGTGATATGAATCATATGCAGAACATTGTAGATCACTGCAGATGTTACCATAAGACCTGAACAAAAGAGAAATTAAACAAATATTACAATTAGGTAGTATTAATACACAAAAGACATTATGATTTCAAAAGGAATTAACAAATTTCATTTATAATCCAACATTATTTCTGATTAAAGGCTATGTTTATTGGATAGATGTATTTGAGTAGACATCCCCAGTTTTAAATCAGTGTAAATTTATGTCTGCTGGTCTGTAAATTCTTAAGAAAAAAAAAAAAAGAAAAAAAAAAAAGCTTACAAAGTTAAATTAGCCCCTTTTAAGAAATGCTCATCTCTTGTTTGGACCCCTCAAATCCCAAATCTTTTTCCAATCTGAAATGTAAACTAAGGAATTTCTAAGGCATTAACGGATTTCATTTATAATCCAACATTATTAAACATTTTAATTATTGGATAAATGTTTTTGAGTAGACATTCCTGATTTTAAGCAGTTCAAATTTGTCTACTGGCCTGTGCATTGAAGAGTCTTAAAGAAAATGCGCCTTCTGATAGAGTTCAAACCTGTGTCCCCATTATAGATGAAACCAACATTAAGCTCAGGGTGCTTTTAGACTGCTCAGCCACAGAAGACTTTCAGAGTCAAGCAAATTTCAATTAACCTATTCAAGAAATTAATGCATTCTTATTTATAACTAGCAGTAGAGCCCGGCGATGTAACAGTAAGAGATAGATCAAGTATTGACCATCATAAAGACTGAAAAATAAAATTGACAAAGATTGTTTTTAAGGTTGACGGACACGCATGTCTTAATTATTTTTTTTTTTTTTTACTAATTGGTCAAACCCAAACAAAAACATTGTTTTCAATCGTTATGAGTCTATCGATTGAATAGAATTTTATTATAAACAATTGTCTTGTAAATGGAATTTTTAAAGCATTCTGAATGTAAAAATAAAAAAAAAAAAGTGTGCAAGACAATAAGAAACACTACCTGCCAAAAAAAAAAAAAAAAAAAAAAAAAAAAAAAGGTGAAGTTTTGTTGAAATCGGTGGAAAAATGTAGGAAATTTGATCCCATATATAAATGAACACACACACACACACAACCAACCTGGGTTTTATAATAAGTGTAACTCGATAACTCGATATTAATAAGTATAACTCGATATGAGTTGTCCCCCTTTCATTAATGCCTCTTAATCGTGTTTTCAAATTGATTTCATGCAAAAACAATTGTTTTTCCAATTTTTGGCACTGTCAGAACCACTGCAAGGTAATTTTACATAGTCCTGTGAAGTTTTGTTGAAATCAGTTGAAAAATGTAGGAAATCCAATCCAATATATAAACGTACAGACACACACACACAATCTGCGTTTTATAATAAGTAAGATCTGACATTATTTCTTATTAATTTTAAATGTTATATTCACTGGATACACATGTTTGTGTAGACAACCCTACTCAAAAGAATGGGATATATGAATGCATAAAATTGAAAATGTGTTTTCTAGCATGTCAAGATCCATATGGGTTATTGTTAAGAATTGTTTATTTGGATGCCAAATAAAAACAGATTTTTTTTGTATTTATTTTTAAGATCTTCATAAATTCAAATCAATCTGTTTAGTTTCCATGACTAAATCTCTATATATCAGAGGAGGAGGAGGAGGAGAGTGAAAATGAAAATATAACCTGGTAGGTTAAATAACTGCATAACAAAAACTTATTGAGAGAGATGCAAGTAAAAATGGTTGGAGATGTTAATCAAATTACCTGGGTAAATGGTTCCTCCAATGATACGGCCAAGTGGATACCAGGCCCGATCATCAAACCAATTGTGGAAGCTGTAGAATCCTTCTTCAGCAAGATACTTAGTGGTTCGAAAGTTGAAATAAGGATCAAACTCGTGAATCACACTCTCAAATCTCAACACAGAGAAGAGACGTGTGGAGAAAGCTGAAAGAGAAAAAATAAAAAAACAAATTAGATGATTAGGTATTTATAATTTCCGTTTCCTTCCTTGTATAATGAGATTTTTCTTATTTACATGATTGAAATGTAGCTTTCACTTTCAGAGAATTAATCTTTACATTTTATGTTCTTGTTAATACAAACAGAATTTAGGAATTTATACCAAGAGACACTCATCAGGTTTGATTTGGGCTCTGATAGCAAAACAAGAAACTCAACCAAGTTGTTGGCTAATTTTATGATTTTATGACTTGCAAACTGTTGTTGGGTTATTTAATGTCTGTTCTAAAAAGAAAATCACAATCAATTCCTAGATAGGTAGACATGGTTTGGATTTGTACCACAGTCTGCAAGTAGCCAGCCAAAGGTGGCTTCTTTGGTTGGGTGAGTGTCTTATTCCTCTTGAGAGAATACAGTTGGTGCATTCTAAGCACCACCAACAGGGCAACCAAGCAGAAACTGACATGTATATGACCCTATACTTGGAAGGCTAAAATTTGTGCAAAGCTGGTTAGTTCAGTAGTTGTGAATATATATGTGGAAACAATCAACCATTTTGAAAAGACACTGGTCTTTTTTGCTATTATTACACACAATAAAAGAATAATTTCTGTTACATATATCATTTAATCATTTCCAATTAGAAGGAAATTGATAATCAGATCTTCAGTCATAAAATAAATGTGGTGATACTTTGGCTTGTTATATACATGGAAAAATATCTACACTGTACAAATTTTATTTTAGAATGATATCTGCATAGTAAAACATGATGCTACTTTAGCTCATTATCTACAAGGGAAAGATAACAAACCAGAGTAGCACCTGTTTTACTATGTAGATATCATCCCAAAATAAAATTTGTACAGTGTAGATATTTTTTTCCTAGTAGATAACAAGCCAAAGTATCACCAAAAATGTTTACACACAGTATTTGAGATTACATTGAGGGAAGGAAGAACTGTTGAAAATGTTTCTTTAACTATGTGTGCACCAAGAACATTGGCTTTGGAGTAATTCTACAGCGTTCATATCAGCTTGTTCAGAAACTAATGTTTTTTGAGGAATAAAAATGAATACAGATGTAATTAAGTTAAATTTGATCACTAAATGAGATAATCACTGTAATTAGCAATTATCATAAGTCTTCAATGATTGTTCACTTTTTTTTTTTTTTATATAGTAGTTGAAAACTCATTGAACAATACTTGTCCTGTTTCTCAAAATCAGTGTTTTCCAACAAGGGTGCTAGCACTCCTTTGTGGGATCTTATGTTCAAAGGGGGTAGGGGGGGCTATTTCATTTGGGGGGCAGTCAACTCACTCAGGAGGGCAATGGACATTTATTCATTTTTTTTTTTTTTTTTTTTTTTTTCAAATTTTCAAAAATATATTAGCGACAAAGGAAAATTTCTGAAAGGTATCTAAAGCTGTGGGAAGCTATCAAACTTTTCTTCATTGTTTTCCAACTTTGTATATGGCTGAATGTGATTTCAACTCAGTTACACAACTTACTAAACAAAGAAACTACCTGCAAATTACAAAATGAAGAGATCTATGATTACAAGCAGCATGGAACCTAGAGTAAGAGCCTTAGCCAGTAAGCACCAAAGTCAACCATCGATTGAAAACAAACTATAAATAATTTTTTTAAGCATTTTAATCATTTGCACTTATAATAGAAATGAAAACTTAAAATTATTTTTGCAGTAATACCCAAGTGTTATCTTGCTATGAAAGATGAATTCAATATAATATTCAAAATTTGACAAGAGGGACATTGACAAAAAATTGTGCCCAAGGGGGAGAGGGGGGGGCGCTGGTTGAAAAACACTTCTATATACATAACCAAACCTTCTGTAGATGAAATACCTATTTCAATGACAGGGTTCATTTTCAAGTTTGTGTAAGCACAACTCCCTCCTGTAACAATCTGGTAATGAAAAGGAAAGTTATTTTTAAATTCTTGGTTAGCAGACCATTGCAAAAACTGACCTTGACTCTCTTAAGTGAGAATTCCTTGGGAAAATGAAATTCTTAGATTTCTTTCCCCATTTGCTTGGGAATGGTCATAGATTAAGCATGATGCATTGTTGTGGTTTGTTAAATCTCTTCCACATCAACAAGAATCTGCTTCAAAAAGACCATTATGTAAAGTGGTTTTCTAGAACTAACTTTAACAGAAAGGTCAGCCTTCCTTTTAAATCTTCGAAGCTATGCAGTAATGGCAACTGATCATCCTCATTGCCAGTGTTGCATTACAGCTTTCTGAAAGTCACACAACATGCAATGACAAACATGATGCTTGCTAAAATCTGTCTCCCATGGAGCCAAACATGACTATAAGCTAGAAATAATACACACAACCTAATGGGAAAAATGATAATCTTGCCACTCAAATAAAATGGAAAGGGGGGTGGGGAATAAAAATAAAGGTGGGTCTTTCAATTTCCAAAGATTTAATAAACAGGGAAAGGAATGTATATATTAAAAAAAAAAAAAAAAAAAAAAAATTATAAATTGAAGAAAAGGGTGGGTATATTTTCCTGAAAACCAACATACATTGTTTACAGTCACAGAATTTAAAAAATGGGATATGGTAGATGTTAAATAATGGCAGCGGTAGATTATGGAGGGAGGGAGTCCTGATCTTTAAATTCTGAAGTGTACACATCCTCACCATTTATTCAAGAGACACTAGTATTATTTTTGTTCCAGAATAGTTACCTTTGCATATTTTTGGATTATTGGCACCATTTACTAAATGTTACATTTACACATCCTAGCAACAACTTTGTGCTGTTTAAGTCTAGCAACAATAAAAAAACCAAACAACATGTCTTTTATTTAACTGTTGAAAAGCAAGCAAAAATTGCTGCATTTATATATGCTAACAAATAACATTAACCATTTGTGAAAATTTAAGAACTGGAAAGACAAAACCTGAAATGACAAATGATACCTGAAATGCTGTGTTACATTTTTAAGTCTTGTCACCCCTACATAATATAATTTTCTATTTCAGATGGCCGACACGAAAATGGTGTTCATACAGTCCTTGATGTGTGACAAAGTTAATGAAAGTGAATAAACTGAATCCAGTACATGTGTTTTGAATTACTTGTTCTTCTATTGTTCTCATTACTTTTTGACAGGGGATGACAAGTTTATAAGGTTATCAAATTTCATTAATTTTTCACCAGGAGATCAGTATACATAATGGTTTTTGTGAGATCACTGTGTTTGAATGTCAATTAGACCAGTTTCTCAGCATTAAATTAATAAACTATTTAATTTATATAGAGTTTATTTCTTGTTTTTGTTTACAATTATAACAACTCCAGGAGAAAATCCATACATTGAATCTAACAATTATGGGACTGAGATGGCACTTAACACAGGTTTTGAAGCTGTTGGTAGATTCAAAATTTGGACACTTAAAAGCAATATCCATTTCTGAACGACCTCATATTTCAGTAGTGCCCATTCATTTTGGTCCATCAGATTTTTTTATATCTTATTTACATTATTTAAATTCAGACTCCTAAGGTGTGTCCTACATGACCTTCAGGGAATTTCAAATAGAAAGCTTTATTTAATCTACAAAGGTAAATTGTTATCGTTGTCAAGGGATATCTAGTTTTGTTCTTTTTAGTGCTATCTGCTTGGTGCTTTTCCTATTAAGAGGTCTAGAATTGGTATCTTTGAGAAACAGTTAATGAAACTTATTGGGATTTATTCCTCAAATACCCTAATTTTCAAATGTGCCACCTTTTGCTACTTTTAGTGATATTTCTCAATTTTTCTGGGTGGTTTGCCATCTAAAAATCTTCATTTTGTCAGCAGAAAACTGCTTATATCTACTTTTTCTCAATATTTGGATTCGTTCACTAAAAATCTATAAGGGTATTAAATTAATTTCTGGCCAGTGAATCAGTGTATATATATATATATATATATATATATATATATATATATATATATATATATATATATGTGTGTGTGTTGTGAGATCATTGTATTTGAAAATGGAAATATCTGTTGATGGAAAATGCAGCAAAAATTTCAACTTTAATTATCTTGAGAACAGTTGGGAATTTTTACAATTTTCTAATGACTAAGATCTACAATATATCAAAATGAACAAAATCTATTTTTTGGGTCACAATTTTTTTGGTTGAATTGACATGAAATGGTCCCCATGTGTTCTTACAAATTCCATCTACCTAGGTTTGGGAATTTGGTTTTCCTTCTCCTAGACTAGTTGGCACCTCAATACAAAAGAGCCCAGTTTGTCTATTTAACCTATAGCTGAGAGGAGAAGAGATGGATCCATACCTTTCCCAAAAGGTATTTACACAAAAGTGAATGTAATGAACTCAACAGGAATTTCAACTCAGCATGCTGATTTCTCATTCCAAACTACTATCCATTACATAAACTCATACATCCAGTTCTTTTTAGCACTGGTCAATCATTGCTTGCTCTGTTTCCACTGGCTCTGAACTACACGGACATGGGATTGAATTCAAAATCACCATGCCATCAAACTCATGAACCAAGGCTATTGTTGTATGGTAGATTCATAGATCTTATTTTAAGCTTTTTCTCATGAAAATGCAAACTGCTTTGACAAGCAACCAAATATGTATACGTACACAGAACAGCTGCTATTGTGAGGATCATCATTTTTAGCAGAGTGTCCTGCTTCTCTGGCGACAGGCGTAAACGCCATGCTTGCGCAGTTTTCATCTTTTGTCCACTTCTGGAAATAAAGAAAAATCAGAAAGCATGATTAATAAAAATTGTGTGTCATGTGAAATTGACATTAGAAAATGAAATGAAATATTGAAGCAAAAGGAGTGAAGAAAGATTTGTAAAAGGAAAAAAAAAAAGGAAGGAATACAACGAAGTATAAGAACAAGGAAAGTCTGGGAAATCCAAAATAATGAGAAGAATATGAAAGTCACACGTGAATGAGAGAAGATTTTTCACGTGAAACTAGGAAAATGAATCAGAAGAAATGGAAAACAGAGTTGGTAAATCTTAAATTGATTTTCTTCCCATCAGTCAATCAATTATTTTAAGAGCATCAGAAAATGTTGAAAAAGTTGGACAATATTTATAACCTTGGTGTCTGAAAAAAAAAAAAAAAAAACTGGCATGTCAAAAAGATGGTCATTCCTTTGACACCACTGTCATGGTTTACATTTTTGACTCCCTCACAAATGTTTATTTATAAAATTATAAAAGTGTGAGCTAAATACAATGCGATATTTATCTTTTATAAAGAAATAAATTTTTTTATTCAAAAATTGATAAAATAAAATTACAGAATATGTAAGCCAACTACAATGCAATATTTATTATTTACCATTTTAATGAAAACGAGTTTTTTTTATTTATTCAGAATTTCATAATATTAATGAACTATAAAAATGAGAAAATTTGAAGAAACATGACATTATCTATTTCACTTTTTAAAACATTGTCAAGGGAGTCAAAAGTATATATAGTAATAGCGGTGTAAGGGGAATAACCCCCTCCTTTTGACACTAAATAAAAATGAATGTTAAGCTGACAAAATGGTTATACATGTAAAACGATTTGGAAAACTATTTTGAAAAGTTTTGCCAATGAACTGGTGTCAGCAGTAAAATAATTTTATTCCACAAGAATAAAATTTACATGATTCCTGCAAAGCAGCTGAATGTGATTTTTACTTCAATCATATCTCTATAGAAACTAGAATTTCAACTCAGTTATTTTTCTTTAAGGTTTATATAGTGAACATTATTTCAATATTAATTTAGTAAGCACTGGCAATAAACTGAAATATCCTAGAGTCATATATTAATTGTAGGTGATTTGTAGATTATTGCACTTTCAATGAATCATTGTCAGAGTAGATTATATTCCTTTTTTATTAAAACAGCATTTTCCAGGATAAAATTATGATCACAAAAATTTTTGCAGCCCACATTGACATTGGGTGTGCTGTTTAATTTAAAGCCCCTTTTATGGGTATATGTTCTTTTAAGTTTTGAGATGTTTTGCTGATGTGTTTTGTGGGGCATTGTTTATATTTTGCAAAACAGTGAGCCAACTTTACACCAGAAGCAAGCATCTAGCAAAGAGAATGTAAACATTGCCCCCAAAAGTACATTGGTGAAACATTTTGTTATATGCCATAAAAAATTCCAGTACAGTACATAGGTGACAAGCTCAAGACTTAAACTAATTCTATTAACCTTTAACACAATCTTTAGAAAAGACTTAAAAAATTGTATTAAATCTTCAGTGGGATACCTCTGAGTCACTTAATGTTTTGTGAGCTTCTGGTGGAGAATTACTGATGAGTAGTGAGTTCAATCTTCATTGGGTACCTTATACTAGTGACCTTGTGCCAAATTAAGAAGAGTTTATAGAAATATAGGTACTGCCACTAATTTTCCACAACTTTATTTAAAATGAATTTTTATAACTGAAAGAGCTTTCTTGAAGCTTTGATTGAAAGCTAAAGGATTTAAAATTTACTATTTCCAGTAAACAAAATACTCTGATTGAAATCGATTTGTTTTTTTTTTCTAGAATAGCTGATTAGCCCCCACTCCTTAGTGATCTTTCATTGCAATATAATTCTCTGTATTAAAAAAAAAATCTTCCAAAAATAAAATATACTTTTCTGAAACTTTATCTGATTTAAAGTATAATTAACCTGATTTAAAAAAATATTTACTTTAAAATAACAAATATATTTTTAAAACAAAACAGTAACTTTTTTTTTTTTTTAAACTGACATTGCCATGTTTTACATAATTGACAATGCATTAAGAGATCTTGACATAATGATTTTTGTTCTACAGAGAATTGATTTGTAAAACATAATTTTAGAAAATGATGTAAGTGCCTTCATATAATTTTAAGTACTCAGTAATCTTAGGAGGCACAGTGGAGTAATGGATAGCAGCTTGGACCGAGTCCAAATCCATTCAATTACATGCTAATACCCTTGGGAAAGGTATAAATCTTCTCCCCCAGCTACGGATAAATAGCAGGACAGACTGGGTTCTATAGCCTTGGATGGAAACCTACTAAGGGAAAAAAATCTGCTTCATCAGTCATATTTTAGGAATGTTGACTTTAAATTTACCATAGTCATTGCTTTTATTTTCTGATAATGTCATGTATGGTTGACCATACTTTCAAAGATGGGTGTGTTACATAATATTTTATAGACATAAAAAAAAGTTAAAAATTATTTTAAAAATCTTGGTGCAAAATAATTTGTATTAAGCTTTTCAATTTTTGATTAGTAAATGTAGAATTTTTTTATAAGCTTTTCTAATTTAATAATGTCATAGTTTTATTGTATTTTATTATTCTGAGCAGATTTTCGGAAAATGAGCAGCAGTTTGAAGAAAAAAAATTTTTTTTTTTTTTTAAGGAGCCCTGCTTTAATAAACATTTTCGGAAGAAAATTTAATTTCTCGAAATTTTATGAAAGTAAGTATTTACAACGTACTAAAAAGGATAAAAAATTTTTAGAAGAATACCTTGGTCTTTCCTCTTAATAAAATAAACATTTTGATTTTGACAATAAAACTTTGGACCTTTTTTTCATTATGGTATGCTGTTTTTTCATCGAAAAAGTGGAGATGAAACCAATTCGATATTTATAGATACTTTGCAATATTTTTTATGAAAAGAAACATTTTTTGGAAAAATTTGGTTTATAAAACTGAAGCTGTCTTCATTAGTTTCAACGGGGGTGACATCGTGAACATTAGAGCCTTGAGAACAGATTGATTGAACTCAAACCCCATTGTAATGTAAACAATGTAGGTCTCAAATAAATAAAATGCCTGACGAAAACAATCAACATTGCACAAAGTCCCATTCAGAGTTCTGTCAACATGAAGAATACAAAAAAAAAAAGTTTTCATTGGCGAAAAATATTAACGTGTTTCGAATTATAAAAAGAGATAAAATTTCATCAATCCAAAAAGAAAGCATATGGAAGAGAATCGTCAAAAAACGTAAACCATGTTTGCTCTCTGCAGAAAGCTTGATTTAAGTCAATCGAATAAGAAATTGTTGAAACCAAAATCCACATCATAATTAATCTCTAGTCTCCTCAAAATTGGATATCATTCATATTGGAATCACAAGCACCATATGTGATATGGCAGAAGCAAGTTTTTAGCATAACACCCCCCCCAAAAAAAAACAAACTAGGAAGTAATTAAGGAGAACAGAAATAAGGTTCTGAATAAAACGTAAACAACTTTAAATTGCCGTCTTAATATTTTTTTAAATTAAAGAAAGAACTATGAACAATTTGTTTCAAAGTTCAACACATGAGCAATAATCCTGTTCATAAAATCATCTAGTGATGTGGACACTTAATTTTACGTTGTCATGTCTTTTTTTTAACAATCATACAGTCAACTTCTCCGGAGCAGTGTGTCCCATTCATTTTATTTCAATCTGGCGTAAATTATTTTAGAAAATCTCTTCTGAAATTTCGACAAAGGGTGAATAATATTACGTTGCGACATTATCAAATTTTATGTCTTATAAAAGAAATAAATGTGATAAATAAATGATGACTACAAACAGGTGCCTGAAGTGAACGAAATGGCATTTCAAGTTAAGAGAGTTTGGAGGGGGGAGACGACTAGAATAAAAATCAGGATATAGAGCCCAAAATTAAATATATGCACATAATTTTAAAATCTATCATATGCATTATTAAATCATTCATTAGCATATATAATTTTTTTAAAAAGCTATCATTACAATTCATTAGTAATTTAGACTAAAAAAGAAAAAAAAAGCCTTATGTTTTGTTTTTTAGCAACCTTCTTGCCTTAATTTTTATTATTGGTAACTAAGTTAACGAACAATAAAATTGTAAGGAAGGTTATTTTTAAAATAGTGACTATTTCTCCCCCCCCCCCTTATGTGTCGGGAGCATATTTTTAAGCACAATCTAAAAATTACATAGATGCAAAAATTTTTTTTTTTTTAAATTGTATAACTTTTTAATTACATTTGTTACAATTTTTTTTTGTATATACGCGAAATGTGCATTAAAAAATTTAAGAACTTTGAAAGTTTTATAATTTTTTTTAAAGCTTAGATTTTAGAAAAGCGTAACTTATATTTACTAGCTTATTGAGTGCATATTGTTTAAATTTTGAAGATGTATTCTATTTTCTTACTGAAGAAAGTTTAATAAAGTTTAATTTCTTGTAAACGAGAGATTAATAAGCCTAAAATTAAATTAAGGCAATTTTCTATAACTTGGGAGATTTTCTCGAAAAAAAAAAAAAAAAAAAAAAATGAAGGTCCAGTTTATCATTGAGTTAAAAAAAATTCAGAATATGTACATCTGAAAAGAAATAGTAAATCTGTCTGTCGATTTTGTCTTTTTTTTTTTTTTTTTTTGAAAATTAATAAATTTTCAAAATCAGGAAGGAACAAGCAAAAGGACACTTAGGAGAGGCGTGAATTGTAAAACGTGCAACCGTGAGAAACTAAAGAAATAAATTTAGAAAAAAAAAAAATCCCATCCAACGTGCATCAAAACGACAAAAATAATCAATAAAGGCTTTACTATAGGAATTAATGATAATAAACATAATGCGAACTAAAGGCATTAAAAATCAACATCACTTGAGGGTCTTCGTCAAGCAGACCGGTGTTGTTATGCCACATCAGCAATCAAATCCTAACACATGAAATACGCAACGTTTGCAGTTATTTACGATCATTTTCAATGCTTAAATTTTGATTTTGGGCGAAAGATGAACAATGGGTGATTTTGGCAAACCTAAACTGTTTCATGCAGTTGTTTTCTTAAAACAAAAACAGAGAAATTTGGAAAAATAACAAGAGTAAAAACTCACATCCAACACCCACGATAGAAAACGCCGACAATGTTGAAGAAAAGGGAAGTGACGTATACATTGATTGGCGGAGCCGTAGTTGCGATAACACCGGCTATCAGGAATTCAAATTACTTATTTTTTTATATTGCTCAAGAATTTTTAGCATTGTTAATAATTTTATGTTGAAATATAAGCTCCAGATTAAAAAATAAGTATTTTATATTTTTCACTAGGCAAGCTTAGTTAAAAATGTAAGGGACATTCTGATTGGTTGTTTTGACTAAGGTTGGAGGAGGGTGTAGCTGTTCATCTTTGGGGCAGACGATAAAATCGGTGAGTCAATCACAGCTTAACGTTAAGTGCGGACGATTTTTTTCCCACCATAAGAAGAGAAAAGAAAAATTAAGTTCATCAACGCGCACAAAAGAGGATTTAATTAATTTATTTACTTGAAAAACAAAAAAAAATTATTATTATCAACAATGATTAATGGTATGAAGTTCATTTTTCTTTATTTTAATTGAAATTCAGCAGCTTTGATTTTTTTTCACTGTATTTTTTACGTGGTAAAATAAGTAGAAAAGGAAAAAAGTTTAAAATTAAATGAATTTTTTAAAACGTTTTAAAATTAATACAAGATTAAAAAAACAAAAATCTACAAGAACAAAAAAGTAAAAAAACTAATGTAATTTTAAATGTTAATTAAATTATTTTTTAAGTTTATTTTTCCCCGTCTCTCTTTTTTTTTTTTTTTTAATCAGTCAACTGTAGAATTAAAAAATTTTTTTTAAAAGAGTCTTTATTTTATCAAATGAATTTAAATAATTTTAGTTTCACATTTCGACTACAACTTATCATCGGCCCGCATTTAAAATATTTAAAATTTTACAGAAATACTGGATTTTTTAAATTTTTTTCTTTATTTTTTAATTTTTTTTTAATTTTTTTATTTTATTTTATTTTTATTTTTTTTTTTTTTTAAAAAAAGTTGTACCTTTCCTTTTTGCCCATGTGTAAATAAAATAATATATAAAAAAAAAAAAAAAAATAAAGTTAGCAGTTTCACACACGCACGGTTTTTTTGTCATGAATTTTGAATTCGATTTTTGAGATCGAATAAAGTTAAAGGATTTTTTTATCATAATTCTCATTTTTCCTTTTTGACATTGGATCGCAAATTAACTGATGATGATGAAAAAGAAATTATAATATTATTCTTTTGATTGTTGTTATAGCTTTTTTTAGTCTTAACAAAGAAGACTAGTGTCTTCCAATAAGAAAAATGCCTTTTTTGCGGTATTATACTGAAAGAAAAAATACTAAGTTCGCAACATTTTTCTTTCTCCTAGCAATTTTCATCTCCCATACAGGAAGAGAAGTATTATTGTTTTTTCTCAGGAAAAATGCATCACATAATTTGGCAGCTTAAAAAGTAATCTTTCCCCCCCCCCCATAATTGTTTTGCGTGTGAAACTTAGAAACGTAAGAAATCAGCTCGAGTTACGTGGGAAAAATAACATCAGGTGATTTAAAAAATGAAAAAGATAAGATGCATTTCCATTTTATCTTTTTTTCCTATTCCTTTCTAAAAATAAAATCACTTTGTAGGTATCTAAAAAGAAAAAAATAAGCGATACCTAAATTTATGCATTTAAAAAACTTAAAGCTTTAATTATTCTAAATTACAAGCTAAATATTCCCAATAAACAAAAGTACTTTTTTGGTGTATTTCAAACCCAATCATTTGAAATTTTAACTTCTCCGAGGATTTGTCCTTAATAAATATAAACATTTAAGCGATAAAAAAAGAACTTTTCAACATTTCATAAATTAAATTGTGTGGGTGTGTTTTAAGATGTAGTAAAAAATATATTTTGCGAAGTTTTTCTGTATCAAACAAAAATAATCCCTTTAATTTCTGAATAAGTCCTGAAAGTTTTAAAATTCGACAATTATCTGATTTTATTTTTGCAAAAATTTCCAAATCAATGAGTTTTTGACCGAGAACCACCAAAAAAATAAAAACTCTGTTTTACTTTCCCGTACAAATTTAAGATCCCGCGTTGACGCCCAAAAAACAACTTTTCATTCTAGAAACTCGTAAGATTTTAAAAAGGATAATTGCATAACTCCTTTGATTTTGACGGTAAAATTGTTTTTTTTTTGTTTTTTTATTGTGTTTTGGGGCCATTTTTCATGATGTATCTTTTTTTCTCTTAAGTGGGTACGTTAAAAAGAAAAAAAAGTGAACAAATCCAGTCACCCCTTTCTTGGGGTAAACTTCCAACTATTTTAAAAATTATTTACAAGTGACCAGCAAGCAAAGATTGAAATAATAAAGTAAAGTTTAAAAAAATTCTCATATTTTAAAAATAAAAATCACCTTTATTTGTTTTTATTTTTTTATCTTAAATCATTTAGTTTATTTATAAATATTTTCCTTAGCTGAAGAAGATTCTTTTTCTCTGTGCCGTGTCCCTTCAGAATGTTGATCATAGCTCTCAACAATTTCCTCCTGACATTTTGTAGCTCTTAAATTAGCTTAAGAAGATACTATCTTAAAAAAAAAAAAAAGATCGGTTTCACAAAACTTTGGATCGACCTGTCATCGATTGAGTGCGACTTTTTCCATTAACAATCGTGTAGAAACGATAAAAGTGCGATCCCTGAATTCTTGGCATGAAATTGAACACGATAAATAATCTGTGCATAGGGCAACTGGTCACCTCGCGAAAATGCACAATTTTTTTTTAATCTCATACCCCCCCCACAAAAAAAACCCTGTGTATAGGGTGAAATTTTTGGTGTACTGTAATTAATTGATCATAAAAACTCGCCCTATGCTCTGAGTCTGATAATTATAATTTTTAACTTTTGAATTGTCGAATATATTTTCTTTAAAAAATAGTTGCAGTTTTGAGTATCGTTATTGAAAACTGCAATTTCGAAGTCGAAAACCACTTTTTTTCTTACACTTCTTACATTTTTGTTTGAAGAAAACCAGTTTTACAGGAATTTTATGATTAATACTCAATGCCGGACAAAGTATCCACTTACAAACTTTGATTTAAGCTTGTGTGCATGTTTTGTTTTGTTTGTTTTTTTGTTTGTTTTTCTCAGCGCGGATAAAAATAGCCATACAGTCGGTCTAATAACCTCATCTTGGTTACAATCGCAACGTTTCGACCCGTTCTGTTATAGTAGCGTGGAGCTTCGAGGACTAAATTCAACAGCTGATTTTTATCCACGCCAAATGATAATGACGAGGAAACATACTAGTAATTTTAACAAAACAATAATATAAGGAATTTAGTTACGAATTTACACGCATGAAGTAGTGTCAGGAGCTCGTTTCAGGAAAATAAATTAGGAATTTTTAAAGTCCATAGTTTTAACGAATTGTTATGAAAAGGAAACGTTCATACAACAGATTAAATGATCTGACACAATAATATTAAAAAAAATGTTTAAGACAAAGGTAAGAGTCCGATGCTCACAGAAGGGATATATGGTTGCATACATTCAAAAGTAGACGAAGGGATAGTTAGAAATACCTAGCTTTCTTGGATTGATGAAAGAAAGTTCTTTGAAGTGTCGCGTGGTTGGTTAAAAGTCGATAATATAATTGGCGAAAACTTCAACGCTGGACACGGTGAACAGAAATGAAACATTTCACATGACTTCAGACACTCTTATTAATTTAATTTTTCTCATTTTATATCAAAAGGAATTTAGCATAGGCTAACTACTTTCCATACTTTCTTCTAATTTTCGGCTAATTTCTGAGGAGACAAGGTTTTCATTTGTCCAAAGAAAATTACACAGGCTCGCGAATTCCTTTCCCTTATTCCTCGGTCGTTCAAATTTGAAAGCAGGAGTATAAAGGGAGTTATTTTTCGCACTCCCTACAGTGCCATCTGATCTTCAGGTGTCTATCGATCCGGATAACTATCAAGGAATTTTAAACTGACTCCTTTATGTACATTATTTACATTATTCGGACTATTGTCCTCATCTTTGTCGCCATATTTATCACAACGTTTCGGCCGTTGTACGCTCAACGCCTTTATCCACTGTGCTGTGGATAAAGGCGTTGGTTAGATCCAGTGACAGGACCCAAAGAGTGTGAGTTCAATACCCGGTTAAGGCAGTGGAGAACTTTCAGAGGGAATTTAACAGGTAATTTAACTGATAACTGACATCCATCAAAACATGGCACGTGGAACTAGAACAGTCTACCCCAGTGAGCGAAATAAAAGGTTCAGTTCGACATTCCAACCACCTGAAGAAGGCCGGAGCATACAACGGCCAAAACGTTGTGATAAATATGGCGACAAAGATGAGGACAATAGTCCGAATAATGTAAATAATGTACATAATACCTCATTTCAGAATTATAGACAGACTGACCCCTTTATTTCATACACAAGGGTAGGTTGTCCATGTCTAGAGACGTCATGTTCTGATTGTTTTTTTTGTTTTGTTTTGCTCAGTTATTGCTAAACCTGTTTCTACTGATTCTGTACCACAACGCACAGGAATTGAACTAGTACTTACTATTCCACCAAATTCACGAACCAATATTTTCATCCTCTGGGACAATAGACAGAAGAAAATAGCTATAGTTTACGAGTACAATATCACTAACAGTAAGTGGTTTTATTTGCGGTAAAGATCAATGATTCCAATATCGATTCATTACTGTCAAGTGGCTATGAACCTGAAATATTTGACGTGTAAAATGCAAATGACATCTGTAAAAATCTTTAATTTTTATAGATTTATCTTTGAAAAAAAATAGTCGGTTTCATTTTCTCCATGAAACAAAACGCTAACATTTAAAATTAATGCAATGCATACATGCATTTTTTTTTCTTTACACTATTCAACGCATAAATGAATATTATCCACGCAGAAGCAAAAAGGGCTTCAAGACTGTGACATTTGTAAAGTTAATAATATTGTTAATGTTTGAAAAAATATCTTGATATAATTTAAGAGTTTAGAAATAGCTAGCTTCATTTTTGCATGGAAGTTTTCAGAAATTTGATATGAAAATAAACGAAATCTTTCCAATTCTCAATCAAATTACTTTTTTTGTGATTCCACTATCATTAGAATGTTTATTTTTATTATTTGTGTTTCTAATTTTAGTTTAAAAAAAATTGTATTGGTTTTGAAAATTCATTGCAAAATCACATTTATACACGAGACCAGAGTTGGAACAAAAATGCCTGTTTTCAACGGAAAATTTTTAAAATTACCATAACTCTGCTCAAAAACCATGTTATTTGTCAAATGGTAAGTACCATTAGAATCGACATAATGTTAGTAAGAAACGATCTGGCAATTATTTAATCACAACAAAAACTCTTTCTGGGCTTTCCTCCTTGATACCTCGACCGCATGAAT